ACGCTGTATGCTATGTAACTCTGTCGTAATGCTATGTATGCACATATGTGCATGCATGTAGTTGAATATATGACCACAGTTGGTGTGATTGCGATTAGTTTTTGCTGGAAGTGCTAACTAATAAACATTTAATTCTGGCATTGCCACCCATCCAAATTGATTTATTTATAAATTGTAAGCTTTTATGTGAATACCGAAATTAAATACATTTCTATATGTACGAGTACATAACATACAATACATATGTACATATATTGGGATAAAATTAGTCAAACTCTAAATTTGTACTGATTTTCATTGAGTGCTTCAATTCAATATTTTAATGTTTATATACTACTTATTTAAAGCAATATCATAAAAATTAAGGAATTTAAATAAATTAAATTAAATTTTTTGAACTTTAATAAAATAAAGTTTGGAATTTTTTTTAGACAAAAATATACATACTCGTTAATATTTAAATAAAAATAAAAATAGAATAAAATAAAATAATAAAATAAAAATCAAATTAAATAATGTAGCCGCGGTAGCCGCGTAGTTAGCACTGCATACTGCCATTCGGAAGTCTCGGGTTAGGAATATTAAGAGAAAATAAATTTAACAAAAAGGCAAAAATAAATTAAAATGAGATAATATAAAATAAAATATGATGAATTAAAATATATTAAATTAAAATAAAATAACACTAAATAGAAAAATTTGAAATATACTAAATGAAAATAAATAACATTAGATTTAATAAAATGAAAAAATAAAATTAAATAAATTTAAAAAAATACATAAATATATTTTAAGTTAAATTAAATTAAATGAAAATATAAATTTAAATAAATTAGTATAAAATTGAATAAAATTATATTATGTAAAATAAATTAAAAGAAACTAAATTAAAATAAAATAACTTAAAATGAAATAATTTCAAATCAACTAATTTAAAACAAGTATATAAAAATTTAATGACATAAAATAATATAAAACGAAAATATAAATTAAAATAAAGTAGTATATATAAATAGCACAATATAAAATAAAATGAAATGAATTAAATTGAACTAAATAATATTAAATTAAATTAAATAAAAAATAATAATTAAAATAAAGTATTATAAAATGAAATAAAATAAAAATAACTAAAAACAACTTAAACTACATCAAAGTTAGATAAATAAATATAAATAAATATAAATAATATTAAATTAGATAAAATTAATTACAAATTAAATTAAAATTATATAGCATGCAATTAAATTAATTAAATAAAACAAATCAAATAAATAAAATAACACAACATAAGCTAAAATAAAATAAAATAAATTAAATTAAATTAGTTAAAACAAATAAAATCATAATTATTTATAATGAGCAAAACGAGTAAACACTACCCTCCACCCCCCAAAACCCACACAAGGGGAGACATAGAAAAAATTAAGATAAAATATGTAATAAAATAAAATAAAATATACAACAAAATAACTAACGTAAACTAAAACAAAATAAGATAAAAAAAATATATTAAAAAGAATTAATTTAAATTAAACTAACTATTTGAATTAATTTAGAATAAAAAATAGAATGAAATTTTATTAAATTGAAATTAAATAAAATAAATAATACTAAATTTAGTAATATAAAATTAAAAAAGAAAATAGTATGAAATGAAATAGAATAACATAAAACCAAAAGGATTATACAGAAAATCCTATAACGAAAATAAAATCAAATTATATGAAATTTAATGAAATAAAATATAATAAATGCTAGGAAAAAATAAATAAAATAAAATAAAATTTAACACAATGAAATAAAAAATAAGCTATATAATAAAATAAAATATAAAACAAAATATATAACGTAAACTAAAACAAAATAAAATAATAAAAAAATAAAATAACAAAAAATAAAATAATATGAATTAAATTAACTTAACTATTTAAATTAATATAGAAAAAAATAAATTTAAATTGTATTGAATTGAATTTAATTAAAATTAAATTAAAATAGAATAAATAATATTAAATTAAATTTGATGACATGAAAAATAAACTAGTATTAGAATAGAATTTTAATAAAAGAAATACAATAAAGAAAATAAAATCAAATTAAATTATATAAAAAAAAATTATATAAAATTTAATTAAAGTAAATAAATTAAAATAATGAAAAAATAATATCAATTATCTAAAATAAATTTAATGAAATAAAATATAATAAAAGCTAGAAAAAAAATAAATAAAACAAAATAAAATGTAATGCAATGAAATAAAAAATAAACTATATAATAAAATAAAATATAAAACAAAATAACTAACGTAAACTAAAACAAAATAAAATAATAAAAAAAATAAAATAACAAAAAATAAAATAATATGAATTAAATTAACTTAACTATTTAAATTAATATAGAAACAAATAAATTTAAATTATATTGAATTAAATTTAAATTAAAATAGAATAAATAATATTTAAATTTGATAAAAAATTAAATAGTTTTAGAATAGAATTTTAATAAAAGAAATACAATAACGAAATTAAATCAAATTAAATTATATAATATTTAATTAAAGTAAATAAATTCAATAATGAAAAAATAAATTCAATAATCTAAACTAAAATTGATAAAATAATATAACAAAAATTTAATGAAATAAAATATAATAAAAGCAAGGAATAAGTAAATAAAATTTAATACAATGAAATAAACGGAAATGCCTAAAATAAAATAAAGCAATAAAATATAATATAATAAATAACTAAATAAATAACAAATCAAATAAAATGAAACGTATTGATCCAAAATTTACAGTGTGTTTAAGTTGGCACTGCATTTAGCCACAAATACACAAATTTATATATATATAAAACTATTAGCCCAAGGTCACTACATATGGATGTACATATGTATATAACTGCTGCAATGTGCAATTGAATTTTTGGTGCTCCAACAAACGAAAAACCGCATTATTTCTTCCTCTATCTCAGCAACAACAAATTCATGTTGTCGAAGAACATGGAAACGAGAGCCGTCATTACGCACTCAAATACTTCCGTTACCAGCATGCCAAATACATGTACACGTACATATACGCTTTGCGAAGAGAACGAGCTTACATACATTCATATATTGTAATGCCACACCAAGCGAGAACAGAACCTCAACAAATTACTGAAATAAAACTCACGCACTGCCTACGAAGTAGCAATGCATCTCGCATACACCCACCAGCAGGTTTGCATTTATCACAAGCCCAATTTGCATGTGGGTCTGGGTGTGTATGCCCACATTCCGGTTTTAACGCAATGCGTTGAAGGACGCAGCTCGGCAGCAGCTTCAAGCACATTGGCAATTAAATAACTACATATGTACATACGTACGGTAGTATGTATGATGTAGCATCCTTGAGCGGCAGTCGACGTTACAATGCAGTCGTACCGAATGTAGGTTGCCAAGCAGCGCAGAATTCCGCCCACAGTGCGCGTGCTGAATGCATGCAGTGTCTCGTTACCGCAATCTTTTGGAGAAATGTCATCAATTCACACACTGGAGTGCATGAGCAGATAAAGGCTTTTTTATTGAAATATTGTACAGAAGGTAAACAAAAGTCACGTGCCGACTTTAGAGGTTTCGTGCGGTGCCGCATTTTGCGCATGTGCGGATAAGAGAGAAAAGAAAGGGTGCGAGAGACTGAGCTTATAATGAGCCACATTTCTCTTACGGAAAACTTGAAGGTTGAAGAGAAGTTATGAATTTAGATATTAATTTTAGTTTGGTGACGTCTCTTATCCCTTTCTTAAAACAGTTTGCTATAAGCATACTAAAAATCAGATAAGCCGAAAGATACGGATTCTACTAAGTCTGCGGGAGTCGTTCTTTGCGTGCCCAAGAAGCATGTCTAAAGGAAAAGAGCTAGCTCTATGCCTTAAACCGTGATCCTCATATAGAAATAAAGTACCATTTGATACTGTGTGGTACCAACTAGTCTCATAAACCGTTATCAATAGGTAAGCCGTACCAACGTCAGCTACTGGTAAAAAAAAACTGACCGGTAGTTGGTGGATAGAAAATTGATGTATAAAATCTAGGTCATTGGGTTTGAGTTGATGTTTTATTTGCTCGTTGGAGGGAAAAGGGTGTTAGATCAGTTGGTTTAAGGGAGCATACGAAGGGGTGGTTAGTGCCGTGATGGGACTTTTTGTATGCAAGAAATACGTTCGGTATATAGGGACAAGCAGTTTAGTTGACTACAATATCCAGATCTTAGCTGATATGGATTCAATATTATGCAGGACTCTCGAGGCAGCTCGACCACTTCGTCAGCAAATAGTGGTGGTTTGACCCCGAAAACACCATTCAATAGAGATTTCAGAAAGGTTCTCACTACGGTAGAATACCAGAACCAAATGCTTGCTCAGCAAAGTATTATGCTCCTTAACTCGGAGCACTGGATAGACTCAACGAGCTTCCTTGCATACCACAGAAAGATACAACGTTATATTACGTTGGATTAAGGCTCTTTCGCCTTTACCAAGTGGTCTTTGAGACACTTTAAACTCAACTTATGACTGTGATAAGTCTGTTTACTACGTAAGAAAGTGGCATTACAATATTCCCATCGCAACACATACATAGTTGACCATTTCAACCACAAAGACACTATTATATCCCCACTGCACCATGCACTGCCCTTAGCCCAAGCCGTTAAATACAAATAAGCCCAACAACCATGTAATACAACTTAGCTGCGTTGAATTGGCAGCGTTCCCAAATGGTAAGTGATGGAAGGCTCATTCTAGTCACTAGTCAGATGCTACACAAAATTTCGACGTGCCTTGTGCTTAATTGAGAGCAATGGAAAAACGTTTTTGGTACGACAACAAAATGGAAGATATAAAGGATGTTACATGCAAAGAAGCTACATACGTTGGTCCCAAGCGTACAATTTAGGCAATACTGCACTAACGGCGCAGATACACAGAAAGACAACGAATAAAAAGGACAGTTATTTGAGTTATTTGTTAAAGTTATACAGTAACATGTATTTAACATTTAAATTTAATGCAATTAATGTTGACTAAAGCTTTGTCGAACATTTTTTTTTTTGTTTTTTTTTTTTTAACTAATACAAAATTGGCTAACAAGCCATCCAAGTGTATTCTAAATAACATGAAACCAAGTAGATCAGATTTATTTATAAGTATATAAATTCCAAAAAAAATATAATTTTCTTCTCTTTCGTTTAGTGTTCCATATTCTTACGGTGCGCCATTTGTAATTCAAATCTACGATTTGAACGTACTCCTCTTATTAGATTACCGAAATTTTTTTCTGCTGTGCCAGGTGTAGTGCGCGTACTTGCACCACGCCCTTTAAACATATCCATACGACGTTGTCGTCGTGAAGCCATTTTTTCATCAAAAGATATTGTTGGTGCTTGTGTTGTGGTTTTTGTGGCATTTGCTTTAGCTACAACGGCCGCAGTTGACTGTCCGCCGATTGTGTTTATTGGCTTTGCAATGTTGGCCTGTGATGATTCGAGTGCAGTTGATAAATTGAAAGCTGGTCGCTGGCCGGCTTGTCTTGATTGCGTTGGCTTTAGCACATTCTTTCCCGGCGTCATTTGCTTATTCTTGCCGCTGGCATTAGTAATGGTGTGAGGCTTAATGATGCCTCGACGTGGGTTTGGCAAATTTACTTCACAGTTTTCGTTATGTGTTATTTCTGGTACAGAAATTGGTTTGCAAATGGCAATTCGTGGTACGGGAAGCTTAGATTCTTGTGTTTCTTTCCGTGGCGTATGGGTTGTTTTTTGCATTGGCATATGCCCTGCAATGGAAAATGTTGATGTCTCGGTAGTTTGTAAATTTATACGTTTTACGGCTTTCGGTTTTTCCGAAACAGTTGCGGTGGATGAACTGACTTGTTGGCTCTTGGCTGGTTTTTGTGCAGAAGCTGTGTAAAAGTAATCGGTTTTTCAATTCCAAAAATTGTATACTAGAAGTAGAGTACTTACTAGCACGAGCTTTTGTAGCAGAATTTGTTAGTATTTTAGCACGTTCTGCCTTGCGATTGACATGCTCGACAAGATTTTCCATTTTTTCGAAATTTTTCTGATGTATAGCTGCGAAATTGGGTAATTTAGTACGCGCTGGTTTCACTTTTTGTGGTGTCACGCCTATTTTACCCGGAGTTTGATCTGAGAAATGTAAAAAAAAATATTTGTAATTGTCTTATAAAAAATATTAAATAATTATAGCAAAGAACCTACTTCGGCATTTTGATTTATTAATCATAGCCTCATCAAAGGACATAGATCTTTTGCGACGTTGAGTGATAACTGAAAGAAACAATATTTAATTTAAAAATAATTGCAAAGAACTATTTTACATACAAGCGCCATCGGTATCTGATTTTCCTTTTGCAATCTTTTTGACGCTCTGCACAATGCGTTCATCTAAATCTTCCAAGATTGTCGTTTGATTAGCTGGACTGTAAAATGTAACATTTTTGCGCTTATTTTGCACCTCAGCACCACCAATGCAGACGGACCATGAACGCTTTCTAATACTATTTACTACAATTTCTTTAGGTTCCATTTTTGAAACTTCAATTGTAATAGATGGTACTTCTGGCTCAGAATCCTCTTGATCCATATTAGTTTCGTTTATTAGATGATCAGTTTTGGGTTTATATGGTGTCGGCATACGCATTGCTGTTTTTGAGTAGCGTTTTGGGGTAGTACCTTCATTAAGAAGAGTGCTAGAATTCAATGTTTGATCTTCTCCCTCATCCGTTGTAAGTATAATACGAGGTGCTTTTGATAGGGGTGATGAAGGCGTTTCATCATCAGAAAGTCTCAATGGTTGCATATCGTCTTCTGTTTTTTCTTCAACATTGGCGTTTACCAAAATACAATCACTACTATTTAATGTATCATCCATTATTGTTACAACTGGAAAAGCAATTTTATTATTTTCCTTCGCTTCGGTAATTTTATCGGTTTTGTGCTCAGTATTTGGTAAATCATCTATTAGATTTACATCTTCATTTAATGGATTCAGTCCTAAATCTGATATATCTAAGTTATTACTCTTCAAATAGGTCCCAAAACCATTTTCTTGACCCTTATCATCTCCAACATCAACAATATTGTCTTTTTCAAATGTTTCATTCAGTGCACTTTCTTCCTCGTCAATAAACGATTCCTTGCCATTATCTTCTGTATGCGACATATTTTTAGATTCTATTATATATACTTCCGTATCAATAACATTTGTTCCTTTAGCATCTAAATTTAAATTTTGCTTTACCCCTTCCTCAATTGCATCACTGTTTACGATATTGATTTTCTTTCCTTCTTTTTTAATATTTTCCTCGTTCTTAAAAGTACTATCTTCGACTACGTTACTCTCTACACCGCTAATAATTATTTGATCTTCATGTTCATTATGTAAATTATTCTCTTCCTGTGAATCAATATCTGGTTTGTCATTGTCATCTTGTAATTTGTTCACTCCAACGATATCTTGACTTTCGTTACCACTAAGCGCCTTTGATTTGCTTTTATCGCCAGCAGTTTTGCGACTTTTTCGTCCTCTCTTTTGTGACACGCGACCTACCTTGGCAGGCGTCCACTTGGCTTGTTGTTCTTCAACAACTAGCTCAGTATTTTCTACATCAATTTTGGCTGCAGATCTCAGCTGGCGCTTACAACTTACAATGTCTTCGTATTCTTGAACGGGTTTGATACTTTTTCGGGCACTACGACGTGGAGTTTGGTTTAAATTCTCAATTCTTCTACTGCTTGGCGTTTGCGGGAAGTGGCCAACGCCTTCAGTTTTCTTGGGAGTACCCGGTACCTGGTTTTCTTTCGAAATTTCTATTTCCATTTCCATTTCGTGATCACTATCATCTTCTTGTGACATTATAAGTTCCACTTCCTTTTCCAAATTTTCGGTGCGGGTACGACGAGAGTTTTTTCGGTTGTTTGTTTTAGTTGATCCTTGGCTTTTAGTTTCCCGCATCGCTAAAATCGTAAAAATTTCATAAGCTCATTTCGAAGTGAATGTAAACATTTATAAACTCACAAACACTCATTCTGTTTTTAACGCCTGTAAAAATAAACACGAAGAATTAATTTTAAAATTATTTTTGAGACGCTTCTCCTTACATGAAATTCAAATACAGTTGCGGCAATTGTGTTCAAATTTGCTGAATTCATTCCCCGTATGTATTCATCCATAAATTTGAACTGGCTTAGGGTATACAACTTTCGATGATTTACTTCTGTTTTTTCAATTGTGTCTTTCAAATGTTTCTGCCGTTAAAAGAATCGTGATAAAAATTGAATTTAAAAACACTTAAGTTTTTTTTTCAAATTTATTACTTACCTAACATAAATGATTTTTTCACTTTGGCTTAAACTTGTGCCACCACTTTCATTCTCATTTATCACAAAGCAGTCACAATTTTTTTTCATTGGCATAACACAGGTCTGTTTAAAGCCTACTTCAGTTAGCTTAATAAATCTTTTAAGAAAAAAGAATGAATGTATATGAGGTGGTTATGTTTCCAATAATCAATAGTTTACCGATATCAACTTGTAGAATGAGAAAACTAAAGAAAAACTCTTTGTATTAATAGTATGTTATAATAACATAACAGTTGGTTCAAAAACCAACTTAGTAAAAAATTATTTTATATTTCAAAGTCATGGCAGCTCTAGAAGTGCTGAATTCATCAAATGAGGTCATTTTTTTTATACGTGCTGCCATATAAAAATAAAACGTTATTTCTGATTGGAATGGCTTGCAGTTCCAAGCTCTGACAATGTTTTACTTAAAAACAAATAAACTGAAAAAATTTTTTATATTTATTTGAATTAAAATTATGAATGTTTCTGTTCTTTTCTTGTTTGATTGTTGTTGAAAACATTAATGTTACATATTACTGTGATCTGGTAGCACTACAAGTAGTTTAGAAATTAGAACGGCCCAAAAATTGCACTGGTGGTTTTTGGGCAGAGAAATTTTCTTTTTATTAATGGTATTAAGTGCAAATAATATGTGGAATACAAATTCGTGTGCCAAATTGGTAATTATATTGAAGTACAAGTATTTGTCGTAGTTAAATTTCCAGAATGGAATATGTGAAATTCGAAAAAAAAAATTACATTTAGAGTTTGGAAAAGACCTTGAGCGTAAAGTAAACAAATCTTTCTATCGTAGATAACAGCTTCATACAATTGCTTTTAATTAACCGTTTAAGTAATATCCACCAATTGAATTATATTATGAAATTTTATTAATAACGCAATTTCAAAAGAGTGTAAAAATAACTTAATAGTTATCGGAATTGTTTTATACGAGGAACATTTTTTAATTTTAGACTTGTATAAATTACAGCATTGACCATTTTACATGTGTGCGATTAGTCATGTTTCTCAGTTCTTTTGTTTTGATAAAACTATTTTTCAGTAACATTTTTACAATAATCGCTGTCTCCGACGTCACGGCCAACTGTGCTGCTCGTTGCAATGGGCAAAGATCAAGATCTATTGGAAGCAGCACGCATTGGCAATATTGCTGTAGTAGGCAAATTACTAGAGCAGATTTCGAAACGAAGTAGCGGCCCATTTTCAAGGTTTGTAATTATAAGCACATATAGCGCTCTTTTATATATGTATGCACAAACGCATAAAATTCGTAATGATTGGTTTTTCTAGTTTTCGTCGTAGTCCCAACATTAATAGCCAAGATGTTAACGGCTATACGCCCCTCCATCACGCTTGTTTGAATGGACATATCAATATTGTACGCCTGTTGCTGGCGAATAATGCTGCACCAGATATGCCCGACATACGTGGTTCAACACCGTTATATTTAGCAGCATGGGCTGGTCGCGACGAGATAGTAAAACAATTGTTGTTGCACACCCCGAAAGCGGCCAATCCTAATACGCAGGTATGTACGGAAAGCTTTTATTCATTAATTATTATCGCAATCTTATTTAGCTCACATAAAATACTAAAAAAATGTTTTACTTATATTAAAAGACTATTGACAATGAAACGCCATTACATTGTGCTGCACAACATGGTCATAACACCGTCTTAGCCATATTACTTGCCTATGGTGCAGATCCTACTGTACGCAACAATAGTTTCCAAACAGCTCTAGATTTAGCTGCACAATTTGGTCGCTTGCAAGCCGTACAAACGCTTATACGCACACATCCCGAGCTATTGGCACCTTATCGCTCGTCCGGTAGTTGCACACCCACCACAGCCACGCTTGAGTCTACGCCGTATACGATTTCGCCTTCAACGCATTTATTCACGCATACGTGTTTGCATTTAGCCAGTCGTAATGGTCATAAAAAAGTGGTCGAAGCATTATTAGCCGCTGGAGTTGACGTCAACATAATGACAAATTCAGGAACTGCCCTACACGAAGCTGCACTTTGTGGCAAAAAACCAGTTGTTAATGTACTCTTGCAAGCTGGTATTAACCCGAACGCCACCGATGGTTCAGGCCATACCGCACTTGATTTGCTCAAGGACTATCCACCGCATGTTACCTATGAAATTGTATGCGCAATAAAAGGTAACAAAACGTTATTTATATATTTTACAATAAACATAATACATACATATACTGTTTCGCATAGATTTTTATAAAGACGCTTCCAATGGTACGCATTTCAAACCAATTAACGAACTGAGTGATGGCGATGATCATGAGCGTAGTGATAGTTCCATCTCGCCTGTGCCAAATATAGCCTCCGAAAGAAGGCAAAACGATGCAAAAGTCAGTGCTATTGCACACAAGGAATTTCTAATGCCAAAGACGTAAGACTGGGAACGATTGAATGAATGGCTCATTTGTGTATTGTTACTCACACACACACACACACATTGCTCTGTGAATGCTCTCATTTGACGCACCTATTGTCCACGATCATAATCATATATAAACGTGACACAGACTTGTCATTAAACAGCTACTCGTATTTTATCGCTTAAGATGCAACCCAGCACTAGATTGATTATGTTTATGATATTAACTATTGTGATTAGCGAAGCTTTATTCTATTATTATTACTATTATTATTATTATTAGTATTAAAGCTATTAGAATTGTAATTATTATTTACATGCATACTTAGTTACATACACCCACTTATATTTATACTATCTACCCTATCATGCATATAAATGGGAATCATTTATTTAAAACTAACCAAAGTTCTGTATGTGTGCCCGGAATTGTAAAAATATATATTACATTACTGTTTATCTAAAATCATCTGCAACTGTACGACTTTTAAATGTACATACATACTTATATACGAACATATATATTTCGCATCATCCCATTCGCGCTTCTGTGCTTGGTGATTCACCCAACTCATACAATCTAATCAACCTGTTGCGAGTTGTCAAACACACAAAATCGGCTGTCTAACATAAAAAGTTTTTAGTCTTTACGCATTGTAAATTTATTTTAATACATTCTCATATTAAAAGAGAATTCGCTCAAACAATTAGTCACATGTAAATTGTCTATTTGGTACTTACTTAGTAAAATTTGAAATTATTTTTATGTCTGCAACAATGAAATTTGATATGCTACATACAAAGTTTCTCCTCCTGCTGCAATATTATTATAAACACATTTAAATAATACATACATAGATATGTATGTGTTTTAAAGCATTTATTTTATGTTTATTTACTCACATTGCTCGGCTTTTTGCTTGGCCTCTTAGCCATTTACATGCAAAAAATACTTTTAGTTAACGTCATATACATTAACTCACGAATGTATGTAAATATTCCATATAAATAAACAAAAACGCAGTGAAAATAAGGTATTACTACAAATATATATATGTATATACATATATCATTGTAGTATAAAACCAAATAGACTCTCTATTTCGATGAGCTCTTTGGAACAGACAACAAAACCGCATTCAAATTATTTGAAAATGAAGCCAATTCTTTGGCAAAAATCTCATAGAGGCCTCGCACCCAAGCGTTATCATGAAGCTTACAGCGATACGACGGCTTTTCCAGCAATACAAAAGCAACGCTCGCTGTTAAGTGTCCTTAATAGTCAACAGCATGCACAAGATCCGACTAAGTATGGGGATCGTGCTCATGTACCTTACAAAAGCGAATCAGCAAACGATCTCTATGCACTGAATAGAAAACGTAGGTCCACCAGAATCTACTTAACTTTTGTTTATGCGACTCTACAATCAATATTTTCCACTCAGGTGACAAACACATCGACACACGAAATCGTGTTGTGGATGAGTATGTAGAGATGACTGCTCCCGATTTCTTCAAAAATTCTACATTAAACGATACGCCAACAATCCCCTCGCAAAGTTCCTTGCATTCCTTAAGTACCAATGTGGAGTGTGTAAAGACGACTGAATTAAAAACTTTTACATCCTCTGCAAGTAATATTATAACGCCGAAAAAGCCCATACCAAGCCCACGTTCCATTAGAACCAATGACTATGCCAATATTAATCACATTTTAACGACATCAAATTCAAATATTAATAGCACGAAATCGGCGGCGGATGAGTTAACCCCAACATTGCCGCAAGTGTAAGTAAAGTAATGACACACTAAACATTTCGTATATCACCAGCACCAAATTAACAGCTCAAGTCAACGAATTAAGTGCATATTTCAGAACAGAGTATCCAAGCCCACCGTCTAAGCAGCCAATAACGACGGCGATATCGCCAACGAAAGATGCGAATAATAATTGCCATAATATTAGTAATAGGAAAACAAATGTTGATAAGAAACACTCGCCTACACCGGATTTCCCGCCTCCAACGGTTTCGCAAGCAGAACACACGATACTTGAATTTATACGGCCCAATAGCGTGCACAGCAAACGGAAATCGTTGGGTCTGAATCAGCGACCGCATCCTGATCTGGAGTCTTTCATTGTAGATGCTATAAACCAATTTGAACTGCCCGATTCGCCGTTGAGTTCTTCTGTCTCGGATTGTGTGGAGGAGTTTGTGGGTGATGCACCCTTCGCTGGTTAGTCGCAATATTTCACTTGAGAAATTCATTTCTGTAATTAATTTTCTTACCGTATTTTCTCCCAAACACAACAGGACTTTTTAAAGGTTCTACTTTGAATTTATCGATGGATGACAAAGAGGAAAGCTTTTCCGCTTATCGTGCATCAGGTGGATTACGCTCACCAAGCTTAGTGCGTTCGATAAAGCCGCTGCCACCTAAAAGAAATATTTCCCAACCTCAAAAACCACTGGCCAACGAAGATTTCAATGCTAAACAAGTCTGGGCAGAGATCGATACTATTCTAGAGAGCATCGGAAACGAGGTAAACGAAGTGGATAGAGCTTTGAAGGCGATGCAGGAGACCGCGCCGAAAGGTGCTCTCCGCATAAACCAAGACGCATTGCAGATACGCAGACCAGCTGCTTTGTGTTTAGGCAACAATGATGATTGCAACACCACCAACTGGTGTCATTCTCCAAACACGCTCATATTCGGACAAATACTCTACACAGTTTATGTGAGTAACGCGGTCGTTTTTATTTTTGAAATTTATTTTTATGAATTTTTATTTCTTTTTTTTTTAAGTATCTGGGCTCTACCGTTATACGGGAATTACACGGTACGGCTTCCACGCGGAAATCCATTTTGAAATTTAAACGAAACGCTACACCCCTGCCAGTAGTGAAGGAAAGAGAATCGAATTTGTTGAAGGATTGCAATAATTTAACCAAAATGCTCAAAGAGTCTAATCAAGACTCGCGCCTCAAAGTTGGCCTCGCTGTATCCTGTGCTGGTGTAAAGTTTTTGAACGCCGACAATAGCGTAAGTTTCGAAATATAATCTATGGAGTTCTCTATCAATATTTTATTTAAAGTCCACCATTTGCACTCATGATATCGAAAACATCAACTGTGTGTGTCAGGACTCTGAGGATATGCGGTATTTCGCCTATATTACGAAAGACGATGATATGCATTATTGTCACGTTTTTATGGTGGATAATTTGGTATCTTTCATTCGCAATTAATTTTTTTTCATGTACCGTAATTTTTAGTTTCCTTTTACTTGACAGGAGTTATCACAAGAAATAATTTTGACCTTGGGTGAGGCTTTCGAGGTGGCTTATCAACTGGCTTTGAGCAAGGATGATGCTGCGCTTGGTGCTAATAAGACGAAATCCATGGAAAATATAGCCGAGATTTAGTTTGACTATTGTAATTTTGGCTATAATTGTTTTTTTAATTTACTTGTTCTTGTATTCTGTCACTAGTCCGTTGGCCATTGCGCTGTAACATTGTATTAATGATGGTATTTGGAACCTCAGAAGTTTTGTTTATTGCATTTCGCCTATTCCTGTAGGTGTACGTTGCTTTGCTATTAATATTTTGTTAAATTTATAATTTAATACAATTTTTTATTCGGAAAGAAAAAACATCTTGTGTCGAGCTCTTTTATATTCTTCACATCATCGATTGGTAAGAAACGAGTAGCTCACAGTGAAAGGAGCTAAGTATCCTTAAGCGGCGAGGAGATTTTTCCCACTTGGTTGGTTCAGTCGTGAAAACAACCGTCTAATAAATCAGCAGCATCCTTGGTATTGCCCCCCAAGCACATCAACAAGCAAATACACGACACTGAATACGATTCTAGTTGACTAATTTCCAACTTGTCCAGACTTGACTCTGACATACCCATGCACTGGGAACCAGCTCGACAGTAACCGTAACCCGTTGAAAAACCTTATTTCTTGGGCCTTGAGTTGGGTGACCTTCATGACTTAAGCTGATCTTGTCTGCAAGAAAGCGCGATAGGATTAGCCGCTATATTTAACAAAAAACAACGTGTTACAGTAGCCGCTACATCATCAACAACGTGTTTCAGTACTGGCACAATCAAAATCTTGCTATAGTAGTTGACTTAATTCCGACTTATGTAGACCTGCCCCTACAAACCAAACATATGTCCTGCATGCAATGAGACCCCCTAAAACCTACTAATCTAACGGCCCTTTCCTTCTGGTCCGAGGCCATCGAAATAGCTCCTTTCCTGAACCACCCGTTAAAAGATATCGATCGCCTTGTTCTAACCGGGGTTGGTTGGTCGCATGCGACCGAAACTGAGCATAATCTGGGTCTTCCATAAGATGATATTGATTGATATCACCAAAATTCGTTTGCACGGAAATGGAGCTAGCGAGCTGCTACAACTGTAGACAGTCTTCCTAAGCTATTTGCAGAGCATCAAAGGTGACCTTTCTAAACTCAATCCTGTAAATCTAACTAAACCCTTTTTTTGGAAACAACTATTCAAACTCGTCGGAACATCTGACTTCATGGGCATCCTGGGAGATGATCTCAATAACATCAGCCAATTATTAATTTTATTAAGTAAACTACGAGGCCTTGTTGTTTGTATGAATTGAATATTTGTTATACAACAAAGAAAAATGGTAGAAGTGACAGCTGTTTCGGAGATCACCTCATCTCCTCATCAGACTTCTTATTTCAGGGATCGAACCAACGGATCCTGCTTTAACAGGCGCCAACATGAGCCATATAATCTGTGGTTGTATTATTAAATTCATGCACTAATTTAGCCGCTATTTTAACAGCTTGGTTAGTATCAAACAATTATGTTTGCTCATAAACAGAATTGGTTTATGAACAAAGATTTTTTTCTCTGAGCATATCGACAATATCACAACTAGTATTACTAGCGAAGAAGATATCTTCGTGAATGGGTGAGGTATATAAAATCTTCCGAGTCAAAGTTTCAACCAACTGATCGGTAGGCTTATTTGTGCTTTGCTGTTAAGCGTTTTCAATATAAAACATTACACAAATCTGGCAGCATATACTTCTCTCAGAAACGCTGGTAGCTCTGGTAATATTTGACATACGGCATTTGCCGTCAGGTGTGAAAATTATATTTTCTGATTGTCGTAAAACTAGAAATTTTCTTTATTCGGTGCTTTGTGAAAAAGAAATAGCGGATTTTAATTAAACACGATGGAAAAATCTAAAGGGAAAGCTTCGAATGAAGACATTGCAGATGGGGAAGGTAAGATAGTTCACATTTATTTAGATCGAAACGGTCCCATGTGCAGGGTGAGGCCGGCAGGCTGATTGTTCCTCTTTTATTTACGTTAATAAAGTTTGGGAACATTTTTATGAATAAAAACTATACCCTCCCTCCCTTGTTTTTTCAACGTTCGCAGTGTTATTTATTAAACAGCTCTTATAAGCAGCAACGTAAACAAAAATATTTAAAAAAAAATAGTAAATGATAAGGTATGAATTTTGTATTTTACTGGTTAATACAATAAAATTCATTGTATTTCATTTGCAGTTGCGGGTATAAATAATGGAGGATCAATTGAAGAATGTGAACCACAAAGCAAACGCGTCAAGTTAGAAGCAGATAAGGGCAACATTGCAGACTTAACGCTTAATCACTCTTACACTACGCCCTTATTTACTGAGCAACTAAAAACACAATGGAGTTCTAGAGATAAAGAAGATTACTATGATCCAGCCACCGCTGCAAAAGTGTACAGAGATCCATTTCAAGTTTGTCTGTTGCCTGATCTTTTACAGAATAAAATCACCTGCAGAGAACTTGTGGATGAAATGGTGCAAAAAGTGCAGTGGTCAAGAAAGCAAATGGATTTGTATGAATTTTACCAAAGTACAGACCTTTCGAACATGGCCAATTGCAAGTTACTAACAAGCTTTCTACAAATGCTGCGACGTACTGTGCGGCCTTGGCTACAGGCTTTAACGGGTATAAAATTAGACTATGTATCGGCATCCTGCTCCATGTATACCTGCGGTGACTACCTTTTGGTGCACGATGATTTACTCAAAGATCGTCAAATCGCGTTTATTTACTATTTATCACCATGGGAGAATGCAGAGCAATGGTGTGAAGAGCAGGGCGGCTGTTTAGAATTATTCAGCAGTGATGAACGTTGCTTTCCATTATTCCCTGTAAAACAAAAAGTTTCACCGAAAAATAATCAATTTGTCTTTTTCAAAGTCGGCTCACGTTCATTTCATCAAGTGGGTGAAGTAACAACATTTGATTATCCACGTCTAACCATAAATGGTTGGTTTCATGGTGCTTCCAATAACGAATTAATCGCCGACGTTATGCGCCCATTTGGAAAACTAGAATTCACAATGCCAGAGAAGAATACGCATGCAGTTAGTGTAGATGAATTTTTGAATGAAGTATACTTAAAAGCGCAAACCAAGAAGAGTATACAAAAGCGCATCGAAGATAATTCAGAAATATGTCTATATGAATTTTTAAGAAGGGAAATATTTGAACAAGCGTTGGAACAATTATTGCACGACGATACGTTAAAATGGAGACTGGAAGGTCCAGCGAACGCACATAATTATGAAGTACTTGATATAAGCACTGCCAGTGAAACGATATCCCGCTTAATAGCACTTTTTTCAAATGCCGAAATGTTTGCCTTACTACGTGACTACACAGATTTGGATTTGGCTGGACCCAATGCAGCTAATCCGACCTACAATCTGCAAGTGCAACGTTGGACACATGGCAACTACACAGTATTGGGTGACGGTGCCATATGCGAAGAGAATACGCTGGACTTACTTTATTACCTTAATGCTAGCGAAGGCGCTGCTGTTGTAACCTACCTATCACCTGAAGCAGATGAGGCACATCAGAAGAATCATAATGACGAATCAGATGATGACAGTATTGGATATGAGATGGAGCAGGAGGAGGACGATTCTGTACTTTTAACAATTACGCCTGTCGATAATGCGCTCAATATTGTATACCGTTGTGAGGGTACAACAAAATTTACAAAATATGTCTCACGCAATACGCCGCTGGAGAGAGGACCGGTCTACGTGATTTCGTGCAGTTATAAAGAATAATTTGTGTAAAAATTATCTTTTTTTTTTTTAAACACCGACGCACAAATGCTTACATATTTATTTACGGATATTTATGACCAATCGAGTTATCCACAGATGTATTGCTCGTTATGTTAGATTCTTCGAAAGAAACCTAGTTATAAATATTATAGTAACTGAAGAGCGAAATTTTCTCAGATATTAAATTATATATTTTTTGAAAATCAAAAATACACATTGTTTATGATGCAAAATACCTACCCTAAGTTTATATATATCCTTTTAATTATTTGCGAAAATAAAGTTATTTGAAAAATTAATGTTACAAATACAAATATTTGTTTAATTTTTGAATTAAGAGCCGTCTTGGTAGTCACTTCAGGAAAGAATTAAAAATGCTTGGCAATATATTTTGAATAATTTATTTATTTCTTAAATATCATTTCAATCAATTTCTTGTTCCAGACAAATATCGCCTCTTTGCCTCTATGGCTTTCATGATTGTGGTCATTATTGTAGGTGTACCGATGTGGTGGAAGACAACTGAGGTTTACAGGTAAATTAATACACTTTTGTTTTGACCACATCCTATTCAAAATTAATTCATTCTCTCGTAAACAGGGTTAGCTTACCATCAGTAGATATAATGAGTTTGAGTGATGCCCCCGTAGAAGTTTCAACAAAGATTGCCATTTTCACTTTTGATAAGACCCGCGGTGCACTATTAGTTAAAGAATTGAAAGAAGCTTACTCAAATAACGGTAATTCTACATAATGTTTTCCCTTAAATGAAGCCTTTAAGTTTGTTTTCGTTTGATAACAGATTTATGGCGTCCACAATTTGTACAAATTTCACCGTTAGAAAAAGCTTTGAAGACTAAAACTCCTGCTGGGCTTGAGAGCATTTTATTAAAACAAGAAGAAATAAAAGCAGGCGATTTTATTTTCTTTGAGTGGCCAAAATTGCAAGAAGAAATTTTACTTACAACTGATCGCTCTGCACTAATACGTAGTGATACTTGTAAGTGAACATAGCGAAAGATGAAATTGTTTTGTAAAATCTGTATTTATGTTTTTTATTTGCTTCCCAAACCTGCAGCTTCTAGTCGCATTAAGCAAGTCATAAACCTACTTATACTGCAGACGCATCGCATACAACAAATATTAAATGAAAACCACCGGCAAGCAGTTAAGACTGAAGCACCACAAACTGAATACGATGTAGTGATTTCAATTTTAAATCCCCGACCGGATATAATGGATGCCAAATGGAATGTACGCATGGCTGTGGAGAGTATGTTAACACTATATTTTTTCCACAGACTTTAAAAAGTACATTTTTTACTAATATTTTTTCCGAAATCCTTCCAGCCTACATTGCGCCATTTCTTAAGGAAGTTTCTCAAATATCAAATTATACTCTCACTACACAATGGAAGTATGAACTGCCTTTTGAGGCTGATTTGAAGCAGATACGCGATAATTCAAAACTTGGTCGGCATTATGCTTTGGGCGAAAACGATTTGCCACATATTATTACTTCGATAGAGAAGAATCTTGGCGTTGGTATAACAGCCAAGCCTGCAATCAATTTAGTCGTTTATATAACACCATGTGACATAGCGCCTGTACACATTTATAATCGCCAAAACAAGCAGGCGACGCGGCAGAGTGTGGACTCTTTCATTTCGCCTAAATGGGGTGGCATTATAATTGCTAATCCACCGGCAGAAGCATGCTACTCATACAACACCGCACAGCAGCCTGTACAATTTTACGTTAACACCAATGATGTAATGCAAATAATGTTGTATCAATTGCAAAAACTTTTAGATATAAATGTGGAGGTGAGAAAGAGTTGATGGTTATGTAAGGGATCAATATGGAATATATTTGTTTTTTTTTTTTTTCATGTAACAGTTCAACATTGATGGCGTCAAAACGGTAGCTTTGGAGCAGATAGCGCCACGTCGTTGGGAATATGAAGCCTATATTCGACGCAGTGCAGTTATGCACATCACCACAGCTAGCAATACATTACAGAGTCTAATCAAGCTATTGGGTAAACAAAATACTAATTTGTGATCTACTAATTCCAATTAAAAAACAAATTTTCTTTATTTGCAGATAATATTAGTTACATTGTTATCAATGATGATGTGGGTGACTCTATTAATGATGCTTATAAAAAACTATTACTAGCTAAACAATCACTAGCTGAAGGAAACCTTTTGGCAGCTTCTGATTACGCAAGAACTGCTTTCGTCGCTTCAGAGCATGCATTTTTCGATGCAAGCCTTTTGGCGCAATTATACTTTCCAGATGAACAAAAATATGCCATATACATTCCACTGTTTCTGCCCATAATGGTGCCTGTGATTACATCCTTTACGATGATACGCAAACTGCTGACGAAATTACGCAATGCTAAAAAGGAAAAAATTGCTTAGTTTTACACAGCTGTAGAGTAACGATGAGTACTTGGAATTAAAAATATATTTTTAGTAGTATTATTATTTTGTAATCTAAAAAAAGCGCTTTTAAATTAAAGGAAACGAATTTTTGTATATTAAGTTTTTATCTTTACATCGAATGCAGGTAGGAATCCTTGTACATATACATATATATATATATATAAATAGGTAGCTAATGTGCAGGACTTGCAGTGCTATCTTAGGTATATTATGAACTCAGTACTTATCACAACTCTTCGTATAGCTCGATTCCCTTTTTTCATCCGGGCTGTGTTTTTCTTGCTTTTTCTATTGTTGTTGTAGTGTTCCTACCAACTGTAAGCCAATAAACTGCCATGCACCGCTTAACATTCTGGCTTAGGAGTGGTCAGTAGCGGGTCAATTAGCTCCCAAAAGTCTCATTAAGTCAAAGTCCGAAGAACTAAACCCCCGTCCCAACGTCAAGGTACCAGCCCTAGCGGGGGATAATCTACAAAAGCTATTTAGTTGGAAGAGATTGTATCAAAAATATCGGTACAAACGATCTCGAAGCCACGTATCGCGAAAAATTACCGACCAATTGACTTGAAGTTTTGTAAAAAAAAAATTTTTTCCCGGAAGTGTACCATGGACTGACTTATTTGAAAAAATTTATATATGGTTCGACTTACTCGAAATTCGGTCATAGGTAGCTTTTTACCTAGATTAGCAAGAAGACTGCTATTCTCTCCGGGATCTGGACCAGAGACCCACCTATTTGTTTTTTGTGAAAAGAACTATATTTATAGCTCTTTTTATTTGAAAAATTTTTTTTACGGGAAGTTGATCGATCTATTTGTTTTTTTTTTTTTAGTTTTTAGTTAAACTTTTGTTTCTTTGAAATGTACCAGAAACCTGGAACCAAGTTCGACTTACTCGAAATATAAATAATACTTTCTTTACGGAACAGAGGTCACTGATAGATTGACAAAAATTAGTATGATTTGGATATAAGCCTAGATCGTGCGTAAGTAGAGGCTTCGAAAAATGCATTTTTGTTCTTAAATCTATTTTAAAAGTTTCCAATTCGACATATTATATTTTTGAAGCTAGAACAGTTTTAGTGGCCAAGCGTCGAACAGGTTCGAATGCTTGGGTAAAACTTTTACAGAGTTTTAGAAAACGTTGCCGATGATGACAAAAAGAATATATGTCCGATTGAAAAAAATTGAAGTGATATAGTTTCAATTTTAATTTATCTTTTATTTTAACTAAAACAAAAATAGAAACTTGAAGTGAATTTTTTTTTTCAAAATTTAATTATTTTTCCAAAATTTGATTTTTTTTTATTAAAGTGAATCTTTTTCAAACATCAAAATATTTGAAATTTTGCAATATTTTTTTAATTCATAAAAAAGAGAGACACATAAAAATTCAAAAAATATAATTGGTTCTACTGCTTCAGATGCACCGCACGATCTCCGTCACCGGCACCGTTTCACACGTTCAAACTGCAACCACTTCAGACACAAATTTCCAATATTTTCTTATACTAAAAATTGTTTTATGAAGTTTAAATATAGTACATTATTGTCTGAAAAGTTCGTTTACCTCAATAATTTCCTTCCCTTTCAAAAAAATTACTATTTTTTCGAGTTCTAGAGGAGACTACTGCCTTAAGTGTGAGTAAGCATCGTTTGGCTTACATCGAGGCATTCATATTGATATTTTTTGTGAAAAACTTTGAGCAGTGAAAAAGTGATCGTCAATAATATAATAAAAAACTTAATTTTTTAACTTCTATGATTCTAAGAGGATTGTTTTTGATCGTTTATCATGGTTCTTTGAAATACCAATTAGAATAAAAATCGGACAAAATACAGATTTTTTCTAAATTTTTTAACAAAAAAAAAACTACAACGTGCTGTTGGACTTATTTCAATCTCATATTTTAGCTTCACCAAGAATTTTTGAAGTTAAGAAATATCACAAAATATCAAAGAGAAAACAACAAAAAAAAGAGGATAACTAAATATATACTTGATTGTATAGATTACGTCTTAGATACACATACATATGCATATACACATATCAAACATTTTAATTGTAATAATTTGCATAATTGCATTTTTTCTTTTTAATTTTTAAATATATTTTTTTAAATTTTTTTCTGAATTGTTGCGTTAATTAGTCACCGCCCACGCTGCTGGTGTGTTTAGCGATGCCTTTGCATGCATATTAAAATATATTATATTTATATACACGTATTTTAAATTTCTCGTTTTTAACCGTGGAAACGGTTTTCGGCCGAGCTCTTCCTCCATTTTTATTGCATGTGTTTTAATGTTTTCCAACAAATGGTCCCTTCATCCACAGTTTATACTCAGCCTCCTCCGAATGGTTTGTAAGTTTTTATTAGGATCTTTTTTCATATCAGAAATACGCTCGAGGTCTTGACATTCCCTGGTGAGAGGCGACCGCAATTATGAAGTTTTTTATTTTTATAATTTTGGTTGCTGGCCGAACCAGGACTTAACCCTCGCCAGTCGAATATGAGTAGGCAATGCCAACTATACCCGGTTATATATATAATATACACAAAATACGAACCTACATATTAATATATAGGTACATATGTACTTATGGCTTGGCGCAAAACAAAGGAATGACAAATACAACAACAACAACAACACAATTTACCCTGCCCAATTGAAATGAGTGGATCGGCATTTTGCCATCATCAGCAATCATTGACGAGCCACGGTGCGGCTTTGACAGCTTAACAGTGTTTTTTTTTTGTCTGTGTTTTTTTTCACGTCTATTTGCATTGGACATGCAACGACCACAGAGTTCCGCTTTTCTTGATACCAAGCTGATGTACACGTATG